TTACGATCGCCGATTCGCCGCGCCGCGCCAGGTTTGCAGTTTTATTCCGATCACTAAATGAACAGCGAATGGAATTGTAACTCGAACGAGTTCTCGAAACGAATGTGTAGCCCTGACGAATTTATATAAAAATAAATTCTAATTCACCGATCAACCATTCCCACTGACAAAAAATTTGCTATAATCACATTAAAGCTCTCTTGAAATCATGCTATACCTGATAAAAACATTTTCGATCGGACTGCTAATAACAGAGTAATCTCTACTGATCACGATTCGTGGTTCACCTTGTATAATAGTTTCTTCTAGTCTCGTATAGTATGGCACAGATTCGTGTCAGTCGTATGTGAATTTTTCTAAATTGTTTATTTCGTTACGATAATCTTTTCGCGTTGATTGATATACGTTTCAAGCCGTTCGTAATAAAAATTGTCGAACGTTCGATTATTTTACCCCACACCCCCCTCCCCCTCCTTCCATGCTTCCGTTCTCCTCGGCTCCCACCATCGGTAAAAATAAGACAAATAAACGTGTCGTCGAAATCCCACGGATCGAAGGGGAGAAAAAAGGGGCGGGGAAGAAGAACGGAGGCTTGAAGGGAGGGAAAGGAAGGTCCGAGGGGAAGCTCGCGTTCGAGGATCTCTTTGATTCCATTATTGCTCGCCTAATTGGATTCCTCTCCGCGATCGCGGTTTCCTGCGTATACGTGTATACCGTGGCCCTCTGCCGCCGCCGATCCGGTGATCTATAGATCGTCGACGCGCCTGGCCACTCGGATCGCATACCTACCCGATGTGTGCATACGCCTGGGCTCGAAAATCCGCGAGATTTCTGGAGATTCGATCGGAGAAACGGTGCGTACACACCCCATATGATCCCATCTAACCAGAAATAATAGGGTTAATAAATAATGAAATAAAACGCCTCTTGTGTTTGGATGGTTCTTTTTTTTTTATCACACGCAACCGTCGCGACACGTTTACTGCTGCGACGAGAACCAAGAGGCTGATCTAAGACCGAAGAAAAACTTGGGAATTTTCCCCGTGGATGGATCGAAAGCATGGGAATATTTAAGTCATCGAACGGGATCAGAGCGATCTTTAAATATCCAAACACTACCGGGGATCTACAGACCACGTTTTCTCACCGGATTAACCGACAAATTCTCGTTGCTGTCACAGAACAGAAAAGTTTTTTTATCAAGAGGCTAGAAACTATAATACAAAAGACGACCCAATGAACGATTTTAGAGACCTGAAAGAATAAGAGAGAAAAATATTGAATTGAAATTGAACTCTCCAGCTCGTTCCTATTAATTCGTTGAATATGCCCGTAACAAGGAAATGATCGAAACACAAAGATATATTGCCCTCGCGGAATCGTGTTTCCTGCCGCTCGTGCGTGCGTGCACGTGGGTGGCAATCAGCCTCTGCAAGCCCATTGTGACCAGACCTGTTGCGTTCGTCGTTAATTAAGACCCATCACCGCGAGGATCCACCGGAACCAGTCGTTGTCTCTTCTCGTCCCGCTCGATCGACGGCCGATACATCGAAAGAAATTCCCCCCCGATATACATACTAATCGAACCTCGATCGAGATCGCGTTTCACTCCTTCGCTATTAGTCACCGTCGAGCCTTCCAGCCATTAATTTCTACGATACGATTCGAAACCGACAGTTGTGTATTCAAAACTGAAGGTAACAGAAACTATGAAGGATCGACAAGATAATCACTCTTTTAGAATTCATAAAAATTCATAAAAATTTAATGTAATATTTCTGTAAATCAATAGGGTTAATCCCGTGGAAATAAATATTATTATTATTATACCTAAACGTTTTCTTGGATCTCGAACCTTTCGAAGGATTCACCAAATTTTTCATTCCTTATACTTTCAACTTGAAAGGCAGAAAACGATGAAGCAGGAAGCGGACCAAGTCCACGGAGAAACCGTAAACGTGGATCGTTTTTTTTTTTTTGTTTTTTTAAGCTATTAATAAGAACCACGATACGAGGCGGCGATAATAGAAAATCACCGCGAGTTACGATCGCCGCGCCAGCTTTCAGTGCACCGTTATGAACGTAGACCGCCGTAAATAACGAACACCGCGGCGGCCTGAAAATAGCTCCGAGTGACGTGCAATAGAAGCAACAGGAGTCCATTGGCTCCGCGTCATTAATCACGAAATGCTACGGGGTAATAGGCTGTCCAATGATCGACGAAAACGTGCGCGCGCGCACGCGAGAAAATTGCCTCGCTGCTGCCCGTTTTTTTTTGTTTTTTCAGCGCACGCCGGAAACTTCAGGTTACACGTATACCTAGAAATACGAAACGTTACAGATTCGAAATGAAAAAGGTATGGTACAAATATTCCCTCTCTGTAATCGCGGTTTATCGACCTCCTTGTGACTACACTGTCTTCTTTACAGAGTCATTAGAATCTAGTGTCAGAGTCATTATACCTATTTATGCATTACTACTACTTTTTTTTTTACGTCCAAAAATACCTTGAAAAGTATGCAATTTTAAGAAATGAAATTATAACAGTAATAATCCATCGCTATGAATTTCGACAAATCAAAGGGATAAAACTTAAAAGTAACTTTTTCTTACCCCTTCAACGGGGGAACCTCGAGACTCCGTGGTCCCGAAGACCCTCTTTCAACCCCCCCGTGTCCTCCGTGGACTGTTCGTCGATGATGGCAGCAGAAAAAAAAGTGGAGCATCGAATAGTCTTGAATCGAGTCGCGGCGAGGAAACAAGAAAGAAGCGAAGGGAGTGTAGTGGCAACGTCCCTGAATGAGAAAGCGGTTCGATGCACTTGCCACTCCTTTCCTCCGTCTCCCTCGGCCGCCGTTCGGACTCCACCGCCACCAGGGAGCCCCTGGCCCGCTGTTGTTCCGCAGAGTGTTGCAACACGAAAGGAACGAGTGTACCAGGAGGCAGGATAATGCCAGGACCGTGTATATACGCTACGTGGAACGGACGAAAGAGCGTGGAGACAAGAACGACGCGACTGGGAAACGCGAACAGAGAAAAGGAAGGAGGGAGAGAGAAAAAGATCGTTCGCTGATTCAAAAGCCCTCCCAGGTGACGGGCTTTTTGCCAGTTTCATTCGTTTCTGCTCGCGACATTTCATTCGTACGACACAACTTATGAAAGCATGAACCGGAGATATCCGCGATAACAATGGAAACGTTGGTTGCAAGAAATACATTTCATATCGATGCATCATTCTGTAGGATCGTCAAGATGATGGAAGGTATTATTATCGTAAAATGATTAGGAGATTCATTCTAGTTCCATTCGTTCCTAATTTATTACCATTCGAACTAGCCGTTCTTTATTGTGTTCTAATAAGTCCTCTCAGAGTCTAGCTCGTGACCGAGGAGCATCGTGAAAAAAAAAGAAACACGTATCAACCGTTGTGTTCCATCGAGAACGTGTTCCAATTACCACCGAGTGATGTTCGTTCTACCTGTCGGAGGAATTAAGTAGCCTTGAACATGCGCCGACTCATCCTCGAGGATGTCGATCGACTCCCCCCACCACCGATTAATCGCTTTCCTCGATTCGAGATTACCTGCCTGTTAATGATTCGACATACCCAGTCTTTTTCATCGTTTTAATTGACCGATGAAATTGTTGCGGTAGAAAGTTACAAACCTGCCCGCTTAATCATGCGATCCTTAGTCATGGGGGGTTTCGAAGAGGAGAACGCTGTTATTTGGGGCTAAGTATCCTAGGAAAGATCCATCAAAATTTTGCCTTTAGTATTTTCCCTCCGAAACCAATCGAGATTGAGACCCAAAATCTAACACAAATCTAACCGAAATTTCTTCCACTCACTGCACAGTGGATCAGAAAACCCGAATATAACCTAATTTATGTTCGAAACATATTAGATGACCTCATTAATTTTTGCCACCCTTTGGCGTCTCCTGGCTCACTATGCACTGCTCTGATCTATCTCAAACAATGTCCAACACAAATCCATATCGAGCTGCATGTCGAGTGAATAAGACCCCTAGATTCCGCTAGAAAGATCGAACCATCAAGTTCAATCTCATAGTAGATCCTTGATACAAAACCTCGAGCAAAGACTGTAACGTTAATCAGTCACGTTCAACCACATTTATGTCCACATGTTCGATTCGAACAACATAATCGTCCTTTCAGGAATCCCAAGTCCGCTCGCGGCCCCGACCATTAATTAGCCGAGATTTATAAAACGATTCGCCTGGAACGAACGAGTGTCGGCGATAAGAGAGAGGAGCCACGGATCGGGTCCAAGTCATTCCACTTAAGGGTTAATGACGCGCAATCAGAATTGTTGATCGCAACGTCGCCGCTGCTATCCGCGTTATTATCAATAAGTTCGTCTCGAGAAGCAATTCACCGCGGGCCCCGTGGACGACGTTTATGTCGCGTTCGCCGGAGGGCCAACGGGTGCCTCCGCTCATAAATCATTATTTATGTCGTGCACACACAGTGACCAGTGTGTTGTTTGTCCTCGGTTCTTACGCAGGCCTGCCCCCGTTCTTCCACGACCGGATACCACTCGTCGATCCTCGATCGCCGCTGTTTCTGCGAGACGAAAGAAACCACCGATACATCCGGCTAGTTTTTCGTCTCATGATTTTATCGTCTGGTGGCCGGTCGAGCACTATGTTTTGTACTTTTGTGCCCTATTTTTCGATGCAACGAAGAATTTAACCGATCAGTGGAACGTATTACCTTCCTATGGCTGTTATAATTGAGACTGATGACGTGCTTATAGAGAACAGTACAGACGATTTTGTGCTTATCATTATCCCCTATTAACGAAAGTATCAACTCGTTCCATAATTTTAAATAATTCCTCCCCACGTGTAACATCTATCAATCATTTTCTGTGTCCTCCTTTCGAAAGACTGGTTTTATTACGTAGATTAAGCGAAGAAACGAAATTATTGGAACGACCGAATAGCTAACGAGAAACTGAAGTGTGCAGACTCACCCAGCCACAGGCGTCATCTTCAGCGCGAGCGCCCTGCTGATGCAGAATCCCGCTCCTCCGGTCGCGAACCAGAATTTCACCTTTTGCTGGAACAGAAAAAACCGTTGCAACACGTTCGTTAAAGGTTCGAGAGAGAAAAAAGTACGTGGCCGATCGGGGGACAGGTGATCGATCGTCCGTTGGACGCGTTGATCGATCGACCCGGGCTACCGATTACGTTCGATCACTTCTGACTTGGGATTGGGGTCCGATCGTGCCTCCCGTTTTCTTTTTCATACGATACAAAAATTCTCGTCTCGGTCCACTCGACATATCCTCTTTCTAACTCTGGCATTCGCAGATCTCAGATCCTAATCCTAGCAGCAACAGCTCAACCTAAATTTCATGATTCAATGGAACACGTTCGGTATCAAAGTCGCGAGAAACCACGACACCGCCGAGAGAGCTCGATTACTCGAGAGTTACGAGCGGGATACATACACACAGGCCGATTTCTGACCGATCGACGTAGCCTGGGGGCCATTAGAGCCGGACTCATAGGCGACCTGGACGCGATCCATGCCACCGATACGATCTCTCGGCTGGTCTAGAACCCGGGAGTCGTGCTCCTTTCTAGGCGTGGTACACACGCCGATACAAGCCTTGCACACGTGCGTGGCCACAATGTGCCCTGGGTGAAACCGAAATCTTTTGGATCTCTGGTGTATAATCTTGTGCAATCTGTACACGGTTGCGCAAGACCAGCCGGACGCGAATGCTATATAGGTACTCGTGAAACCGATCGATGTTTATCGGACCGTGTACGACGATTTTGATACCGGTTCAACGACCGGGATAAGTCCTAAAGTCTGCCTTGAATAATTAACCGATAAGATTTATAATAAAGAAAGAGATTTACAAGATGGGGCAATAACTATGTCCACTTTGAATATTGCCGTTATTTGTAATAATATGAACAAATATTATATACAAAACTTACACGGTACAGAGGGGGGCATATTGTGACACAAACATTTTCTGCGTGGGTGAAGGCACAGAGGAGATTTCAAGGTCATCTCTATTTTTTTTTAATAGAATGCTATGTTTTTTTATCGCGATGTGATAGTGAAATGTGGTAGTAAAATAAACTTTCTTACATTACAGGCGATGCCCGAAGTAGTGACCGTTTGCGTCGATGCAAAGTTGCAATCTTCGTATCGCTGCGTCACGTGCATGTCTTATCGTTTCTGAACTTACTCTAGCATAGTTATTGCCCCACCCTGTATAAGAAGAACCCACAAAGTGTATCATGTTGAGCGCCATTTATTTTATAAATTACTAACTGCAAGCGACTGAAAGGAGGTGTGTGTGTGTGTTTCTGTGTGCACCTTAATCGTGGCTGGTCGAGGCCTACAATTTCAGCGAACGACGGATCAAAAGATTTCAAGTCTTCCCCCTCCGGGGTTTTCGTTCGAGAGCAGGCATCAACCCAGAGAGTGCGCGAGTCTCTTCGTTCCCGATGTTAATTACGCGTTCTCCAGATAACGGAGCAACAGAAGCGAGGCACGGTCGGGTTATTGGTCGATCGTCTCGAGAAGAGTCAGGTGATGCCCAGCAAGGAGGGCAGCGACGCATGACGAGGAGAGGACAGAAGAAAGGGAGGTGGAAAGACGAGGGGAACAGGAAGACAGGACCTCACGAACGCATTAGATATACACGGCCGATTGGGGTGGGCCCAGATAGCATCGTCGGTGGCTACACAACCAGTGGTGGGGTGGAGTAGAGCTTCGATCTTTCGTTCTTTCTTTCTTTCTTTCTTCGTTTCCTTCGGTCCCCATTTGAATAACACAACACCGTGCGCAGTCACGAGAAGCCACACGAGACTCGCGCGGAATTCTGGGGTCAGCTGAACTCACCCAACGGTGGACAAAGCGACCACGGAAACGATAACCGGTGTTCCGACCGATTCACCGGCGTTGTTCGCCTGTTCGAGCTTCCTGTGTTTCCCTCGTCAACATCTCCGATCGCCCACCCTTTTTAGCGTTGACACGATACCACGCACGGTGCGTTTCGAAGCAATAGTATACAGTATATTACAACTCAGAATCACTTTTTTCTAGGGAATATAATCTATCCTTCTCTGGAGAAATATTATCTCTCAACACGATTTCAAACATGACATGCTTGGTTTGTGTTCATTTCAACCCCAATTTTTCAGAAATTAATGGCCATACACGACAGAATTCCATTTCTGAACCTCATTAAAAAGTCAGCGTTGCACCTGGGAACCTCTCCTCGTCAGTGACAAGGACCCTCCGAAAACTCATCGAGGATTTACTGTACTCTGTGTGGTCTCACTCTGCCCGTACCATTAACAGCGTTCATAACAATATGTATAACATGTAGAATATGTACAGCTTCCCAAGGTTGCGAAGAGGGAGTTCTTGAACGTAACAAGATTCACCAGAAGAAAGTGAAAGGAAGCCCATGTCGCTGACAACACCTGCCCGAAGGAAGGAAGGCTCAGCGAGGCACGGCGAACGGTCGCCGATTTTAATTATCGCGCACGCATTTACCCGGCAGCGATCATCGTCCAGGGATGATCACCGTGGAATCGCGGCCAGAACCTCGGCCGAGGTAACCGACGTCGGACCGGGCAGATCCTCCGCGAAGATTGCTCCTCTGACTAATTACATTCCGAACCCTAACTTCGAAGGGGGTTGATGCGAGCGGACCACGAGAAGGAGCAAGAGGTGGAACGGGGGATACGATTATACGATCCTATATCCAATTACCTAGCGACGATTGGCAGCGATCCAGAGATAAATTTGGCTCCCTGATTGCTGCTCCCTGTCGGCCCCCGCTTTGCCTCCTTATCCGTTCCGAGGAGATACAGGGAAATTTAGTGGGGACCCGGTCCCCAATTAGTAGATCCGAAACACGTTTCCAGGGAAAACGTTTATGGGGAATCTCGAGAGCTTTTGAGTACCCGTTACATTAGGTTGCGACTCGGAGAATCATTCGATGTGTCTCTCCCTGTTTCTGTTGAAATTTCTGGTCGACAATTGCTGAGTTTCTGTCGAGTCGGACGTTAATTAGTTCGGATAACCCTGTCCCCCGACTCGGCAATCGATGATCGAAAAACACAAGGACCAGAAGGGTAGAGGATCCAGGGCCGTCGATTGTCTCTCTAGAATCGAGGTCGTAAAAACAAGGGACCCGTGAATGACACGGCGAGTAATATCTGATGTAGAGAGTGGGTGGCTGCCGTTCGATATGTATTAAGACTAATGAACAGATTAGAGCCCCTGATATCGCTCGACCAGCCTAACTGCAGATATACGCGAGAGTCGTCGTCGTGCTGTGGAGCTTGAGGAAGGGCCCACCGCTCGAAGGCCAAACTTTCGATTAAAAAACACGACGTTCCTGGTTTCCAAGATCAATATACGTATAATCCAACTTCTGGGCCAAGAGACATCGCTCGTTAATTTAACCTGGAAATCGCATTCCGTCTGATCGAGACAGGATAAGAAACCAATTAACCAAAAAACAAAAAGAGAAGAAAAAAAAAACTATCTCGCGATCGATGGAGAAACAGCAAGCACGCGTTTCCGCCGGAATTCCTTCGGTGCAGCGGATCGATAACGCCGATAAAACGCGTTGTTATCGGACCGGAGGGAATATTAATGAACGGATAATTGCGGACAAGTCACGGGCGTCGATTCGCATGCGTGTCGTCCACGTGCTGCGTACGCGATCGATATAATGCACCGGGACGGTATAAATAAATAAAAGAAAACGATAGCCAAAGGCGGACCTGGCGTGCCGCGGTTGCAATTCACCCGACTCGGACCGTGGTGCACCGGATGCACGCGGGCCCCGTTCTGCAAAACGAAGATCCAGCCCGTGAGATATAAAGACCTCGTGTGCGCTGGGTATAATAATATCGAAGTAATGGAGGTAGCGTACGTGGCGTAAGATGCGATCCTCTTCCGACCACCGCCTCTATTTCGCCTCCCACCCCTTCTTTCCTGATCTTGGACTGCGACGAATGGGATACGCGTGTTCTCGCCCCATGGTGCACAGCGTCCATGAAGAGGCCGTCATGGGTCACGGGATACCCAGGTCTGCGGATCTTAGAGCTACTCCACGAACGGTTTTCACCTGTCCTCTTTTACCGTGTCATTAGTCCGACCTGCCGATAAGTCGGCTATACGTGCGCGTTATCGACACGGTGAACACAGCTTCCGGGTTCTTGGGTGTTAGAGTACGGTGTGATGTACGTGTATTGTCGAATTATAAGGATCGGTCGGATTGGGCTTGGTCAGTTATGCGGAATATGCTGGCCACATCGGTGCGAATAACGGCACCGAGAGAGAGGTTACCTGCCTGGGCGTTTCGTGCCTCGATGCACGTGAACGCGATAAGTCTTGAGCGGAATCTCGAGTCTCTAGCTTTTAGGGTACACACGTCGAGGATCTGGGAAGAAGGCAGAAGCTCCGATGGCCCGTGGTAATGGGATTATAGTGAAGTCTCGATACCTGCGCGGTGTGACTTCTACGTTAAATGCGCTCTGCTTCAACCTTTGCTACTGGATGGATTCCACACTGGAGACTCGGCCTAAAATGTTGTTCGTTAAGTGACACAGTGTACCTCTACGATAACTGCTCCAAAGTGGTCCCAAGTTTTTGGCATTAATCGAAGATGTTAGCTCCTAGCTTCTACTTCTTCGCTGTGTCTGCATGTACGTGTGGCCGACCTTCCAGATGATTGGAGTTCGTTCAATTCCTATCTTTCCATTCTGAAGTTAACTGCTAAGTCGAGTTCGCTTAACTGGAAATATCTCGGAAATGGAGCTTCACATTAGAAAACTGTAAAGGACTTTTTGATTTGTACTTGTACGACGAATATGCATGTTGCTGTTTGTCTTGTAATTTTGGGACACCCTGTGTATACGGGCTCTATGATCTAAATTCGAGCTCGTACGGAGCTACGTCCACGCCCATCCGTTCTGTAATTTTGGGACACCCTGTGTATACGGGCTCTATGATCTAAATTCGAGCTCGTACGGAGCTACTACTACCATCCAGCACAATCACGTCGTTTG